GTTTAATAACTCATCTCTAATAACTGATTTATTTTAAGGTTACCACGGGCCCTACTTTGTGCACCTCTGCTCTAAATGAACCATACGCCAGTCTCATTCTTCATTCTATTCTGATTTGCTATTCGAGTAGTAATCAATTTCAATTAATAATCAATCATAGTAATCCTGATTTGCATCTGAAGCCTGAGTTTACTGCAGAAATATATTCCAGCTTGTCCTGAACCTGCAGGTGTGTGTGTGTGTGTGTGTGTGTGTGTGTGTGTGCAATATGCCCACTGGCGTCTGTAAATTAAACATGATTGCTTTTGTTTCCTTCTTATAAGAGTGTGAACAACATGCAGCCGCAGGACCAAAGGTGTATCTTGCAAACCCGTCAAACACGTATTTCATTCCCTAAGGCGAAAAGTTGTGACATTGTGTTATTTATTAATCCCTCTTTATATCAAGTGGCCTTAATTACTGTCATTTTATTTAATCTTTTGGTACAATGCACTTCTTATCAACACACAGCTCCTGAAGTGTTTTTCCTTTGTCAAAAATTTCCCAAGCGATGTTTAACAGAGCAAGGAAATTTTCACAGTATGTCTGATAACATTTTTTCTTCTGGAGAAAGTCTTATTTGTTTTATATCGGCTAGATTGAAAGCCATTTTTAATTTTTTATCAACCATTTTAAAATTTCACAGTATGTCTGATAATATTTTTTATTATGGAGAAAGTTTTATTAGTTTTTGTTTGGCGGGAATGAAAGCAGTTTTTACTATTTCATAAATACAATTTGAAGGTCAATATTTTTAGCCCCCTTAAGATTTTCAATTCTTGTTTCTACAGAACAAACCACTGTTATACAATGACTTATTAAACTAGTTAAGCCTTTAAATGGCACTTTACTGAAAACTGTCTTGTTATAGAAGTAGAAAAAAAAAGTCCATAAGTGGTACAATAATATCAGCAATATTGTGTTGTGGCATTGAAAAAAAGAATACAAAAAAAGAGCAAGGAGAAAATAGAATAAACTAATGATATAACAAGTAAATGTGGAGTAAAGGATTTTAACATTTACAAGGGTTGTCTACGTTAGATTCCTTAGAAATCAATCTGACAATTATTGTATATTTCTTATTGGCAGAATAATTTAATATAATATAAAATCATATAATATAATATATAACATAAAATGCTATATAATATACCATAATATAATATAATATAATATAATATAATATAATATAATATAATATAATATAATATAATATAATATAATATAATATAATAAAAAATAATATAATATAATATAACATAAAACAAAATAATATATAATATAATATATTATATTATAATATAATATAAAATAATAAAAAATAACATAATATAATATAATACAAAATAATATAATTTAACATAATATAATATAATATAAAATAATATAATATAAAATAATATATATTATAATATAATATAATATAATATAAATAATTTAATTATCTTAATTAGTAATTTAAATTTAATTAGTAATTTAAATATCTTATATTATAATATATTATATATTTATATTTTATATGAAACATAACATATAATATAACAATGTACAATATAATAATTAAAAAAGATTCCTTAGAAATCAATCTGACAATTATTGTACATTTCTTATTGGCAGAATAATTTAATATAATATAAAATCATATAATATAATATATAACATAAAATGCTATATAATATAATATAATATAATATAATATAATATAATATAATATAATATAATATAATATAATAAAAAATAATATAATATAATAACATAAAACAAAATTATATATAATATAATATAATATAATAAAATATAATATAATATAATATAATATAAAATAACATAAAATAATAAAAAATATTATAATATAACATAATAATATATATTATAATATAATATAATATAATATAATAATATAATATAAAGTAATTTAAATATCTTATAATATATATTTATATTTTATATGAAACATAACATATAATATAACAATGTATAATATAATATAATATAATATAATATAATATAATATAATATAATATAATGTCCTTTATATTACATCTCCATGCTTTTAAAAAAAATGACCGCAAGCACAGGTTTATAAACTAAGAATTTGCATTTGTGTATTACAAATGTAATAAATAACAATTATCTAAATCTGTTGATGCCAGAAATGAATTAAGCCTTATTCACGCATGCAAAATAAACACAGAGGTTGAAAAAACTAAACGTGTGCTTCATCCAGCAAACAGTTATTACCATTCAATTCTTGTTAGATCTGCTCCTTTTTTTGTTTTTTTTGCTTGCAGAGAGATTAAGATCCCAAAGTGCATATATACTTATTAAACTATCTTCAACACAATATCCAGTTGTTGACATTGTTCACTTAAGTAGGTTAACCCTAAAAAGCTAAACACTCACACATTGTCATAGCAATAAAAAAGCTGCTAAATAGCAAAGCGCTCTTTATAATATAGAGGTGTCGCAGCGCCTCCCAGTGGACAATTACAATCAAAACAGTCACAGCTTTGTTATCAGTAGTTAATGGTCAATTTAGGCAGATAACTAAAAGTCAAAGCACATAAATTTGACTATTGTGGCATTTATCATATACATCTACATCATTACAGTTAATATAATATGTTATTATGGAATTAATACATTATAACTCATTTAACTGATAATAAATAATAGTGTTCTTCTTGTATGAATAACATAAAAAAGCCAAGTCATCCATCCATCCATCCATCCATCCATCCATCCATCCATCCATCCATCCATCTATCTATCTATCTATCTATCTATCTATCTATCTATCTATCTATCTATATATCTATCTATCTATCTATCTATCTATCTATCTATCTATCTATCTATCTATCTATCTATCTATCTATCTATCTATCTATCTATCTATCTATCTATCTATCTATCTATCTAAAGTTAGGTTAAAACCAAGCGCACCATTGTATGTCCTGTGAAATTCCCAATAGGTTTGATGTGTCACATGACCCTCTTCCTATTAAAAAAAAAGTTAGATCCAAGATGGCAGACTTCAAAATGGCCACTATGGTCACCACAACCATATGGTGACAAACAGAGCGTTAATATCACCATTCCCATTTTAATAAGGTGTATCCATATAAATGGCCCACCCTGTAGTGTCATTTTGAAATGGCAGAAAAACACAAACCCTGGTAAATATGACACACTAAATGAAACAAACGCATATTCCCTGAGCGCCCCCTGCTGGCCTCTTTAACTCCACTTCCAACAGCAACCTAGTTTTCCCATTTGGTCTCCCATCCGGGTTCTGACCAGGCTCAGCCCTGCATAGCTTCAGTGAGTAACCGGTCTAGGGCTGAAGGGTGATATGGCTGTGGCATCTCTGCTTTAGACAGACCGTGGCCTGCTTTATATCCAGTTTACAACAGATATTGTTCCCATTCAGTGTTTATGCACAGATTTAATTTCAATGATTTTAAAATGATCGTTGATACATACAAGGCAATGAAAGTGCTTTACGCTGATCTGATGCTGCTCTTTTAACTGTTCAGTCAATGCAGCTAAAATCTATGGGAGATCTATGGGCATTGTCTTCATTGGCACCTAAATTGTGGATCTCTTTACCTTCTGATTTTCACAATGCAGAATCCCAAAGTGTTTTTAAATCATCTCTTAAAACGTACTTTATAGCGTAGCTTATATTTAATTTTTAGAACTATTGCTATTAGTTATTAATTACGCGTTTAATATATTTATGATTGCATTTTTTTTGCATTTACCCTTCTATGTATCTTTTACTGCTGCACATTTTGTTTGTCTGTAAAGTGCCTTGAGATGCTAATTTGAAAGGCACTATATAAAAATAAAGCTTATCATCATTATTATTATTATTATTATTATTATTATTATTATTATTATTATTATTATTATTATTATTATTATTATTATTATTATAATAATAAGGGGAATGCAGTGGCGCAGTAGGTAGTGCTGCCGCCTCACAGCAAGAAGGTCGCTGGTTCGATCCTTGGCTCAGTTGGCGTTTCTGTGTGGAGTTTGCATGTTCTCCCTGCATTTGCTTGGGTTTCCTTTGGGTGCTCCGGTTTTCCCCCACAGTCCAAACACATGTGGTACAGGTGAATTGGGTAGGCTAAATTGTCCGTAGTGTATGAGTGTGTTTGAAGGTGTGTGTGTGGATGTTTCCCAGAAATGGGTTGGGGCTGGAAGGGCATCAGCTGCATAAAAACTTACTGGATAAGTTGGCGGTTCATTCCACCGTGGCAACCCCGGATTAATAAAAGGACTAAGCCGACAAAAAAATTGAATGAAGGAATATTATTATAAGTCTTTTTTTTTAAAATATTGTTATTATTATTAGAATTATTTATTTTTGGTTGCAATTCTTTTTGTAAGCACTGGAGGGCGTAATGCTATTTTTGTGCATTTAAGAGCCTGATTACTAACAGGATGAGATGGGTCTGGCTGCAAACTCCAATGCTTTTTAATGCGCTCACCTAACTCAACTCCTCACAGTGAAATCACTAGCTACATTAGGTGCATTGTGTCTCAGTTTGTATCTCCGAGCATTGCAATCTCATCTTGCATCATAAAGGCTGCATCCAGATACTACTTAACAGGATAGCAAGTCAAACAAACTAAATCACATTTGACATGTTTGTTTTATTGAGGTCAATCTTAGATCAATTAATCACTTGACATCAAGTTAAACATCTGAAAAGTCTGCTTTTTTTAATAAATAAACATATATTTTAATAATAAGAGCAGAAGATTTGATGAGCAACTTTTATTAATATACCAGAGTTTGATTCAACTCCAAACATGGCTGGTGTAATATGGTATTTCTATGATGCAGGTTGGTAGAGCTGTAAGTTGAGATCCAGAACACCATACTTGGCAGGAAATTTTTGGGTACGTGTTTGCCAAATAGGTGTGTCTTTACCGTGTCTTGAAAACTGCCATAGTCTCAGGCAGTTTGGAGTCTGGTAAACTTTTCCCCAAAAGGGCTGAAAATGAGGTTGTAATAATTATAAAGGGACTTTAATCATTTTTTTTTTTCACCGACTGAAATAAGGGACAGAAATACAATCATAATGGCATCAGCATATGAAGGTCAGTCTGACATCAATACGTTATATGATACACACACTTTATCTGTGCAGAGCGACACTTTTTAACATCACAATCTGACATGAGGTGTAATCTGTATCTTTATCTGTTGGATTTGATTTGGATTTATACTGCAAGTTGTTTTGACGTTTTAAATGAGTAAGTAGCAGGATGTAACGACACAAATGTACTGCTGTCTATGTTCCCTATTTTAGTCAGAATTCTGTTGTTTGTGAGCGTTAGGTTGTGCTTTTCAGTTGGTTAGGGTGCGGCAGTACATTTGTGTGAGATTACAAAAGCAGAGATTAAATTGAAAGCACTGGGGTTCACAAAAAAATGGAGGTCAAACCTTAACAAATGATTAATTTAGCATTAAAGAAACAATAACACATTTAAATATTATGATTTATTGCTTGACAGCTCGAATGTGTATTTATATATATATATATATATATATATATATATATATATATATATATATATATATATAGACACAAATAATCAATATATATCTATATATATATATATATATATATATATATATAAATATATATATATATTTAAAGAATTTTTTACAATATTTTTTCTTATATA